CTAATCCAATTAGGGCTGAATTATGCTTCAAAAGTTGTGTCCACAATTTTCTATCATTATCATATTTAAAGAGTAGAAGTCAAACTTCAAAACAGAATCAAATCCCTATCTCCAATTTTTAAATTTTGAACAGAAAATCCTTTCCCCTTATCTCCAAGGTGGCTGGCCATATCACTGGGGTTTTTCCCTGTGTGTGGCGCCAATAGCAGATAGGGAAGGAAGAGATTTTATCCTTTATCCAGTAGTCCAATTTTAATTCAGATTCAAATTCGAATTTAAGTTAAACTTAAATTAATTTGAATTCTAAATTGAACAACTTATCAAATAAGTTTGAATGGATAAATCTAGATATGTTCAAATTCAAATTTAAATAATCACATTATTTAAATAATAATTAATTCTTAATTAATTATTTTTTGAGTATTTAATTTTAGAATTCCGTAATTCTAAAATTCCCATTTTGCCCTTTGTGTCTGGTAAATTACAAGGATGACGCGGGGACATATGGACCTATAATCCTGAGCTCCAATAAAATTAATAATTAATTAAACACTTTATTTAATTAATTAATTCTATTAATTCCAATAGATCCTTGAGTACCATTGATTCTCTAATGGATAGTGATTCATAAAACACATTCATGAACCAGAGCGCTCTTACTAATCCAAGTACCGAATCAACATTCAAGAGAATTATTTATCTACTTATTTCTCAAGAAGGAATGGATTCCATCTCGTATAATAACATTCCCAGCTACCTATTTCATTATGTCTCCAAAATACAAGGAATAGGATTTAGGGTCTCGGAATCCGTACTGAGTAAATCAAAAGACATAAACCCATAAATAGGAGTTTGTTAAGAACTCAGGATTAAGATCATCCTATATATGACCATCGGTAGACTCAATTAGAATTTCTATGCTTAACGAAAATTATTAGAAATTCATATTGTGTCTGTGTCCTTGTTTCACATAATCTTATTATGCAAAATACACTCATTCAATATCTCGTCATATTAATAGTGCGGATAACACCGTTCCATTCTAAATGGGAATGACATGTATTAATAATGTTTTAATTAAAGATTATAAACTTTAATTAAATTCATCATGAACAATATTTTTGATTATTATCCTTAAACACTATCTTCTCGTATATAACACTTATATACTATGTTTAAGGTTACATAAACAATCACGAAATTTTCATTTGATATTTATAAAATATTCATAAATATATGCACATAAAATGATGAATAAACTCTTTTATTAATTAAATAATAAATATCCTATTACATCTCATACTTTTAAGATACTATTCTCAATAATTACAACAAAACAACACGTGTCAAAATAATATCTAAACACTATGACATTGTAAAAACTATCTACAAATTGCAAGAAATAATTATATCAAAAATTAATCTAGAAGATAAGAGAAGGAAATCATTGAAAGCATAAAAAAAAAAGGAAAAAAAACATCGATTAATAACGTCACAAACAAATACGATAATGACAATTTAAGAAAAAAAATTCTTTTTAAAAAGAGAAAAGAACAGGTAAAAAACGAAACAGATAGAATTTTTTGTGAAGGGAGAAAAAGGGAGAAAATTGCCAAGAAAAAATGAAGCTAGAAACTTCACAAAAAAAAATAGCACGAGTAATGCATTATTTATTTGAAACAAAATTACGAAAATACCCAAAAAAAATGAAAAAGGAAAAATTTTAAAGAAGAAAAAAACGTAAAAACTTCACCAAAAATAAAGCTCTACAAAATCTTGTAAAAAATTGTTTTTTAAAAAAATAATCCTAAAAATAAAAAAAATACCCAGACGGCAAATATTGGAGAAACAACAAAAAGTTTCAAAGAGAAGAAAACATAAGAACTTCATCAAAAAATAACCCATAACCTTACCCAAAAAAAAATAAAATAAAGCAGATCCGGAAAAAAGAAGAACAAAAAGCGCAACCAATACTAAGAGATGAAAATAACGAAGCCAAATATAGAAAAAGAAACGAAAATAAATATCAACGGAAAGGAGCTGCGGAGAGAGGAAAAAAACGGAGAATACAAATGCATAACCCCAGAAGTTTCATGGAAAGGAACAGAGAGATAAGAGAAGAGGAAAAAAAATTTGCACAGAACAAATGATGAAAGAAGCTTCGAGAAAGAAAGTGAAAGAGGATTCGGGAAAAGAATTAACAAAACCAATGGTAATTTTCAAGAGGCTTCGAGAAAGAAAGTGAAAGTGGCTTCAGGAAAAGAATTAACAAAACCAATGATAATTGAAAATTACCAAAATATCCAAACAAAAACCATATAAAAATAAACAGCTAAAGTTAAAACGGTAAAAACAAAACTTTAGGATAAATCCGGAATTTTTTTAAAGAAGAAGGATAGGAAGGACTCGGCACTGTACTTAGAACAGTAACCGGGTGCCTACTATAGTAGTAGGTATAATAACAAACGTATATCTCAGAGGAGCTTACGATTCCAAAGGTCGGTTAGTTAGATCCCATTCATTTTACATATTTAAGTTTAGAATTTGAGTTTTATTACAGTAAAAAATGTTTAAAAATAGTTATATTTAACTTTTTTATTATAGTAAAAAATTCTCACATAAAATCACATCTAAACTCGAATCAGCGAACTAAACAGACCGTAATTATTCTTCGTTTAATAATTTTTCAACTCCAATTTATCTTATCCTTCAAATTGGTTGCTCTTTCTGTTTCTGATCACACAGTGTTGAGAGAAACAGAGTCGTAAGGGTGGTAGTGACAGAGGAAGAAAACTGATTTAAGCTGTTTTCAAAGGAAGAGATGTTGAATAAATCTCGCTTTCTAATGAGTCTAGCTTTATTTTCTAGAGAATAAAGCTTATATCAAAAATTCCATTTGTGAGAATAGCATCTAAGCGTCGCGATTAGTGTTAATGGGTCGTATTTGTGTCAATCTATTTATTAATCGCGTCAGAAAAACATCAATTCAAATATAATCTGTTTATTAAACGTGTTAAAAATACCAACCTAAACATGACCCATTTATTAATCGTATTAATCGTATCAACTCGTATAACCTGTTTAAATTAATGTATTGAATAAATAACTAATATAATAATGGCTTATTTAACAAGGTCAAGACATGTTTATTGGTCAATTTATCTTTTCCTTTAAGAAAATTAAATGAATTTTACCAACAAATTATAAAATTCACATTATTTGTATTTAATATGTTATATAAAATTTCATGTTACATCACATATCATTAGATTGTAGATGACACATATAGTTAATCGTATCAATTCGTGTTAAGAGGTCAACCCTAACCCAAACATTTATTAATCGTGTCAACCCGATTATGACCTAAACTCATTTATAGTAAACCCAAACCCACTAATTTCGTACGGATTTCGAGTCGTGTCGCTACCTGGATTGCCAGCCCTAATATCATCTTTGAATTGATGTGTATATAAGCAATTGTTGACCAAATTTTTTTTTTCCGTTTATGCCTTTGACCATTTATACTTTTTACTTACTTGTTATCTACTATTTTCTCTTACATAAGGCTTAAAAAAAGCGATTTAATTTGTGTTTCTCTTTATGCTCTTCGCCTTTTTTACTTTTTACTTACTTGTTATTTATTATTTCTCTTACTTAGAACTTAAGAAAAAAAAGTTTAACATGTGTTTCCATTTACGCCTTTAATCTTTTGTACTTGTTACTTATTTATTATCTATTGTTTTCTCTTACTTAGGGCTTAAGAAAAAACTGTTTAATTTGTGTTTTTATTTATGCCATTTACTTTATGTACTTTTTATTTACTTGTTATCTACTATTTTTGTATTTCTATTTAAGCTTTTCACCTTTTATTTGTATTTTTTACTTACTTGTTATTTATTGTTTTCTCTTATTTAAGGCTTAAGAAAAAGTAGTTTAATTTGTGTTTCTGTCTATATCCTTCACATTTTGTACTTTTTACTTACTTGTTAGTTATTTTTTCTCTTATTTACGATTTAAGAAAAAATGATCGAATTAAATAATGTTTAACTTACATTCTGAAGGTGGCTTCCAAACCCACAAGACTCACCCCGTTAAAATAGACGGTGCGGTCTATGTAGAAAAATAATAGTATATGACGATTAGTAAGAACTGTTTTGTCTTCATCATAAAATTGTTTCCTTAATACACAATAAATATGACAGTCAAATTCATGCCCTATTGCAACTGGCACGTGCAATGCACGTGTCTACTTTTACTAGTATATAATAAAAATGTGATGAAGTAGGCAGCTGTCGACTAATTTTTTTTTCCGTTTATGTTCTTTGCCTTTTGTACTTTTAACTTATTTATTATTTACTATTTTTTCATATTTAAGACTTAAAAAAGTAATTAATTTATGTTTTCATTTATACCTTCACCTTTTGTATTATATTTTACTTGTTATCTATTCTTTTATCTTACTTAAAGTTAAAAAAATATAATATAATTTTTATTTTTATTTATACCATTCATTTTTTTTATTTTTCACTTAGTAATTATTTACTCTTTTTTATTACTTAAAATTTAAGAAGAGTTAGATTTGCATTTTCTTTTATATTCCTTACCTTTAATACTTTTTATTTTCTTATTAACTACTATTTTTTTTATTTATAGCTTAAAAAAACAATTTATTTTTTGTTTCCAGCCCTTCATTACATTTTTATAGATACACGTCGAGAAGCTTTGGAGGCGGAGCTTCGCGAGGTGCATCAGATTGCCGCGAAATGAGAGAGGGTGCGAGAGAGTGAAGACGGAGAGAGAGAGAGAAATAAAAAAAAAATTAATAAGTGGTATCAATTAATTTTTAGGGGCATAAATAATATAAAATATAAAAAAAAGAGCAGTTATTTATGTAATTTTTTCAATACAATATCGCGAGAAAAAGCAAAAGAGCGATAATGACCCATGAGTCCTTGTCCATAGGACCGCGTTGGCGCATCCATCTCTGCTCACATTACCCAAAATAAAAATAAAATAAAAAATAAAAAAAAAGACCTCATCCTTTATCATCTCCTTTCCGGACCCCAAAATCCAAAACTCCCAGAAAAAAATGTCGCTCACAGCCTCACTTCTCCACCTCCCACCACTACACTCCCTCAAGCTCTCCTCTTCCACCACACCAACGACAACGACAACAACCCATTTCCTCCATGGCTCGATTCCTCTCTCTCTCCTCTCCAAGCCCTCTTCCTCTCTCACCAACCCAACCTCGTGTCCCCCCAACTTCCTCCCTCCCATCAGGGCCATGAGGTCTCTGCAGGGACGCGTCGTCTGCGCCACAAGCGACAAGACCGTGGCCGTGGAGGTGCTGCGTTTAGCCCCCCACCCCAAGTACAAGAGGCGCGTGAGAAAGAAGAAGAAGTTCCAGGCCCACGACCCCGACAACCAGTTCAAGGTCGGAGATTACGTCCAGCTCGAGAAGAGCAGACCCATTAGTAAGACCAAGACCTTCGTCGCCGTTCCCGTTCCCGCCAGGAACTCCAGGAAGAAAGACGCCGATGGAGAATCTGCGGAGCTTGGGATTCCCTTGGAATCTCAGCAGCCTCAGGCTTAGGTTTTGAGGTTTTGAATTTGTGAATTTGATTTCTTTTGGGTTTTGCATTTTTTATTTTGGTCAGGTTTGGAATTTTTGTGTATTTCGATGCGCTTGATATGTGACATGGTATTAGTCTTAAAAAATTTGAGCATTTTCTTACTGGAATTTGTGTGTGTGTGTGTGTGTTTATTTTGGATAAATACAAAGACTTGTTTTATCAGAATCCCGCGTTTCACGTTTTTACAAATTATGCTAAAAATCCCCCCAGAATACATTCCTTTTGAGGAGGTTTCTTCATTCAATTTGGATAACTTAGGGGGTTGGTTTAATAGGTTTGTAAGAGCTAGGGAGAGGTGTAGTATTTCATTGGTTGGTTTGCACAAATCAATAAAATAATGACAACTCAGGAGTTGGTCAAAAAATCAGGGTTAGAGTTGGTGTTTCTAGCATCCGTTCATTCTGAAAACATAAAACATAGAGCAAAAACGCGGTATTTGAGGATGGATTGGTGCAGCATTTTGGAAAACATAGGGTGAAGCTTTATATTTGATGTTTTTCTTAAAGTGTTGGCAATGGTTTTGGATAAAATTGTTAACCAATACCAAAACTGATGGATGCTTTTAAAAGTTGCGCATTTGAGTTTGTTTGATTGATTTTGTGAAAAGAGTTTGGGATTATGGAAAATTGGAAGAGAATTTGGATGTTACTTTACTGTAATTCTTGGGTCGGATTATACTCCATACTGCATACTCTATAATATTGGAGGCTAAACACAATTAGAACTGTCAAATACTAATATTATTATGCATGAGGAAGTAGGAACTATCAGTTCTGTAGATCCATGTAGATGCTGAACATATACTTTTCTCTACAATGCTAACCACAGACGTTCCCTTCCTTTTTCATTTCAACCAAATAATGAATTAAAATAAACCCACATGAAACCAGAGCATTTTCTTAAACCACTAACAACTCAACTAGATGCTTTACAGTTAATTTAGTTGGGTTTACCTAACGCTAACTAGTAGAACTAAATTTAGATCAGCTTTCCTCACATTGCAAACTTGTCTTAATATTCTTTAAAGTGCATGATATTAGGGTGTTAACGGAATCCACAGACTCCATAGTTAGTTTGGCTGTTGGGGAGGTATTGGTTAGTATCTGGAATGCTACTGTAAGCAGAGACCCTCCTTCTGAAGTCTTCTCCTCTGGCCTAGAGGTGATGACTAGAGGCCTTGATTCTACCCCGTCGGGAAGAATCGAGAAACCTGATGGTAATACAGTGAGGTTGCTTGAGTCACATCCGGTCATCACAGATTGCATTCCAGTGATGTCCACCGGAGCATAGACCACCATGGATTCATAAGCATTTGTGCAGCAGTCTTGGAGTATCCACATGCTGTTTTCTTTGGATTTCATCGTCTGAAAATATCGGAATCCCCAATGTATTTTAGTGCAAGGATTGAGTTGTTTTAATACTCGTTTTAGTTGAGTATCCAAGAAAACAAATTCAGAGAAAGGAAAAAAAAAAAGTACAGTTTGTAATGTCCAAAGTATGGTTATTGATAGGGACTCACTTGGATGGAAACTGCATTGCCACGGTCTTGTCCCTTTGCTAAGTTCGCCATGGATTCAACTGAACCGGTCCTTGAGATTATATCCCACTAAAATTTACAGAATAACAAACTGTCAAAACATTTTTTTTCCTAGACAAGCATAACCCTAGTGTAAGAGATTAAAGTATGGCCAAACCTCACTCCGGTGACTTTCATCTCTCAAGAAATCGAACAGGGCATGAGGAGAGACGGGCAACCATACTGAAGAAACTGCACAGAGTATGACTCCAAGAGGCTCTCCAGGGTCATTCAAGTTCTTCCTTGAGGCAATTCTTATGTCTTCCCCTGTTTTGCTTGAGACCTTGGTCCAAGTATTGTAGCTCGATGCAGCGATTGCTCGACAGAAACTCCAGGTCATTCTCTGTGCCAACTTCAATATGCTTTTCCTCCCGGCAAGAGTGGCCACGCCTAACGTTCAAAACAAGGAATGTTACTATATAAAGACCCACTCTTTGTTAAGTCCATGGCATTAATTTTGTTCTTACCAGTTGAGTCCTTCATGGGAACGTTGGTTGCCATGAAGAAAACAAGCCTCTCGCATTGAAGTTGCAGTGTAGCTATCCAATGCCTCGCACCAAACGCCAGACCGCTGTTTACAATGGCACGGTACATTGTGTGGACTGTGCTTTTCTGGCATTCCAAGTGCTCCACCCAAGTCACCTGAAACCATGATCGGATAATCAGTTATAACCTTTGCTTACACATGACTCGATCAGTTTCACCCCTGTTCCTTTTTTTTTTTAATTTTTTTTCTTCATTTGACCTAAGTCACCTGAAACCGTGATCGGATAATCGGTTATAACCTTTGTTTACACATGACTCGATCAGTTTCACCCCTTTGTTCCTTTTTTTTTTTTTTTTTTTTTTTTTTTTTTTTTTGTGTTTTTTTTTCTT